AATAAACAGTATGGACCATCCAAGTTAAAAAAATAAGTTAGAGACCAAAAAAAGAATTCCCCCAAACCACAGGGACCATTCGTGTAATTTAATTTTTATTTTTTGTTTTGTTCATATTTGAGTAAAAAAAAATTTGTACACATTTTTTAGGTAACGAACTTGTTGAAAACGTTCACAACTAGGATTTAACCTGCTATAGCAGGTTATAATGGTCATATGTGAACACTTCCAACAAGTTTATTACCTAGATGTGTACAAAAAAAAAGATAGTTACTCAGATGTGAACATACCGAAAAGTTAATTACCTTAATAAGTCATATATTCCTTATAATCTTCCTTAATAAATGAATGTTTTTTGCCATTTGTCAATCTCTAATGAGTTTTGATACTTGTTATTTTGTGGTAATTTTGGAATAAATATTATCTACTTGTCAATTTTTGGTTTGCTTTAATTTTTAATTAAAATCATATACTTATATATGTAAAGTATTAAATATCACATATATGATATTAAATTGTAATAAATAAGTTTCTTTCTTTCTTATTTTTAAAGTTGTACATTGAAAATTATTTTATTTTTATACTTTAAGTTTAATCATTTTTTAAATCAATCCGTATAATATACGGATCTCACACCTAGTCTAAGTATTTGTTTCGAGTTTGATTTAGGATTGCATCTATAACTTTTTCCATATTTTATAATATTGTTTTATTCACACTGTATATTTATTAACAGCTAATTCGTAAATTCTGTATGAAAGGAGATAATATTCATACATTGTGATTATCAAGCTATTTATCATAATATCATTTTATTGCATGTGAATATTCGGACAATTTTAAAAAACAAAAAAGATTATTTCCCCCCATTATAATAGCAACAGAGCAAGGACTAAGAAAAGAAAAGCTTATGCTTGCACATGAAGGTAAGCAGCGTCTTTTCTTAACGTCTTCCACACAAGAACTCCACTCACACTCTCTCTCGATCCCCTTAAGAAAAACCCACATCCATTTTCTCTAGCTATTTCACCTAAAATGTGATTTTGACCGATCCATCTGCCAAAAACGATCTGTTTCTTCGAATTTCATCAATGGCGTCCGTTCGGAAGCTCATTGTAGAAGTAGTTGATGCCCGTAATCTTCTCCCAAAAGACGGCCATGGCACGTCAAGTCCTTACGTGATTCTTGATTTCTATGGCCAACGACGGAAGACCCGGGTGGTGGCTAGGGATTTGAACCCGGTTTGGAATGAGGTTTTGGAATTTAATGTCGGAAAACCATCCGATGTGTTCGGTGATATGCTTGAAGTTGATGTTAATCATGATAAGACTCTTGGGCCGACTACCAGACACAATTTTCTGGGTAGAGTCCGCTTGAATTCACAGCAGTTTGTGAAGAAAGGGGAGGAGGCTTTGATTTATTATCCTTTGGAGAAGAAACACTTGTTTAGCTGGATTCAAGGCGAAATTGGTTTGAAAATTTACTTTGTTGATGATGTTGCTCCGCCGCCGGCGCCACCATCTCCTCCACCATCCGAGGAGGTGAAGGCTGAGCCAAAGTCGTTGGAAGAAGATAAGACCGAAGCTGACGCTGCCCCCACAGCTGATTCAGAACCACCACCGGCGCCTGAGGTGGCTCCTGCAGAACCTGCTCCACCGTCGGAAGCTTCCGATGATGATGCTGAAGTTCCAGATGTTGATGGTATTGATCCAGTAGAAGCAAGTACTCCAATGAAGCAAGAACGATTTGATCATGATCAGTTAAGGACATCAAGATCTATGCCGGAGATCAAAATCAGTGGTGCAATTCCAATCGGCCCACAGCCAATCCCTCGGACTTCCTCAGTCAGCAGCTTCACGACAGATGTGTCCGATAGATTTCCAATCGAACGGTCATCATTTGATCTGGTGGAGAAAATGCACTACCTCTTTGTTCGGGTAGTTAAAGCTCGGGCTTTACCCACCCCTGGCAACCCGGTAACCAAGATAGTTGTTTCCGGTTGCCAAGTTGTCTCAAAACCAGCTCGAAAAACTATGTACTTTGAGTGGGACCAAACATTCGCTTTCCGACGAGATGCGCATGATTCTGCATCCATTCTTGAAGTCTCCGTGTGGGACCCGTTGATCTCAAGCTCTATGTCAGATGTTGCAGGGCATAATTTCCTAGGTGGCATATGTTTTGATGCCACAGAGATCCCTTTACGAGACCCACCAGATAGCCCGTTGGCCCCACAATGGTACAGGCTAGAAGGAGGCGGGGCTCATAAAGGGGATCTCATGTTAGCCACATGGGTGGGAACACAAGCGGATGAGTCATTTCCTGAAGCATGGAAAACCGATACTGCAGGTAACCCTAGCTCTCGATCCAAAATATACCAATCACCGAAGTTATGGTATCTACGTGCAACAATCATCGAGGCTCAAGATGTTCCCCCCTCATCATCGTTCCAAATCAAAGCTCAATTAGGGTTTCAAGTTCAAAAAACAAAATCGATCGCCACACGTAACGGAACTTCGTCATGGAATGAAGACTTGATGTTTGTAGCCGCCGAGCCATTCTCCGACCAACCGTTGATGTTGTTTCTAGTTGAACAACGGGGCCCAAAAGAGACAACTGTTGTTGGAGTCGCTAGCCTACCTTTAGCTTCCATAGAGCGTCGTGTAGACGATAGAATTGTGGTATCAAAATGGTTAACATTTGAAGATCCAAACGAAGAAAAAAGAGTTTATCGTGGTCGAATCCAAGTAAAAATATTCTTCGATGGGGGATACCATGTGATGGACGAAGCTGCACATGTTTGTAGTGACTATCGACCCACCGCAAAGCAACTTTGGAAAAGCCCGATTGGCACAATTGAGCTAGGGATTGTCGGATGCAAGAATTTGCTACCAATGAAGTCTATCAATGGAAAAGGGTCCACGGATGCTTATGCCGTGGCAAAATACGGAAACAAATGGGTACGAACACGAGCGATATCCGATAATCTAGATCCGAAATGGAACGAACAATACACATGGAGAGTTTATGACCCATCCACCGTGTTAACAATCGGAGTTTTCGATAGTTGCGAAGGGTTTGGATCTGACGGTCAAAAAGAGCCGACACGTTCGGATTTTCGTATGGGAAAAGTACGTATACGTATATCAACTTTAGAGATGGGGAAGGTGTACAAAAACACGTACTCATTAATGCTATTAAATGCGGTTGGGCTCAAGAAAATGGGCGAGCTAGAGCTAGCGGTACGATTTGTGCGCATGGCACCAACGCTTGATTTTTTGAATGTATATTCGCAACCCTTGTTGCCAATAATGCACCATATCAAGCCAATCGGGGTGGTGCAACAAGAGGTACTTAGAACGATTGCAGTTAAGATCACTGCAGCTCATTTGACGCGATCTGAGCCACCCCTTCGTCGTGAAGTGGTGGCCTACATGCTAGATGCAGACACGCATGCGTTTAGCATGAGGAAGGTCCGCGCCAATTGGCTACGGATAGTCAACGTGCTATCGGGGGTCATTGACATGGTCAAATGGTTTGACGACACACGTTCATGGAAGAATCCAACGTCCACATTCTTGGTTCATATATTGCTTATGATGCTCGTGTGGTTCCCGGACCTAATCATCCCTACTTTGGCATTTTACGTGTTTGTGGTTGGGATTTGGAATTACAGATTCCGGTCTCGAGCCGCACCACCACACTTTGACCCGAAACTTTCATTAGCAGAAACAATCGATGGTAATGAGCTCGATGAGGAATTCGACATGGTGCCATGCACTAGATCGAATGAAATGGTGCGATTAAGATATGACAAACTACGTATGCTAGGAGCACGGGTGCAAACTGTGTTAGGTGACATAGCGACACAAGGTGAACGAGTGCAAGCTTTGGTGACATGGCGGGACCCACGTGCCACGGGGATTTTTGTTGGAATGTGTTTGGTGGTTGCAGTCATATTGTACCTTGTACCATCGAAGATGGTGGCAGTGACATTTGGGTTTTATTATATGCGACATCCGATCTTTAGGGACCGGATGCCGTCTCCTGCACTCAACTTTTTCCGAAGACTGCCGTCGTTATCAGATCGTATTCTTTAGGTTCGATCGATTGGTATCTATTTGTGTAAATTAGTGTGACATTGTGTAATGTGTTGACAGAACTGTTATAAGTTCAATAATTATTAATTGGTAGTACTTCCACCTAGTGCTATTGAGCTTGTCCCTTATATATTCAGTTGAATTAAGAGAATATATAGTAAACATAATGAAGCTAGTGTATTTTTTTATATGTTCGAACGAATATTGATTAATCAAATACGAATATAACCTCGTAAACTCTATGTGTTTGAGGTCATCATGCTTATCGTTTTATCCTAATCTTGAAGAGTTGAAAGTCATTTCTTGGTAGAAATCTATAAAATGATGTTTTCTATAAATTAAAAAAAAATAAGCTTAATTACATATTTTAAATAAATATTTATTATACTATAATCATGTTTGTGAAACGAGTAAAATCAATAAAAACTTAGCTAAAAACATACTAAATGGTCGTGAAACTAGTTGGAAGTTGCACATAATATATTTTCAATGCATACAATCTTCTAATCATGTTATTAATATTAAAAATCCACAGTTCACACTATTATTGTGATAATATAGTTTTTGATTTTCTCTATGGTGAATGACACCACAATTCCTTCTTTAACTAATACAACTCATTCGAAATTTCCAACACAACTCATAATGGATGCTATGCAAATGGGTAGATCGATGTGTGTTATCCAGACTCCAGAAAACACAGTTGTCTAGAGTCTGTATGCATACAGACCTAAAGAAAAAAAAAACAATGGTATGAGTATGTGACAACTACAATTTAAACCGAAAACAATTTATTTATTAATGATGAAAAAACATTTATACATGAAAACATGTACGTACTTTATCAGAAAACATTAGAGAAATTAGAAATACACACCTACCAATTACACAAAGAGCTTTCTATTATGCCACTTCCGCTGCAACTACATCAACTGATCCATTATTTTCCTCCTTTTCCTTTATGAGCCTCATTATTTCTACTTTTTTCTCTAGTAGAGCTTCAATTTTAGTATTCAACTTCTCTAATTTATATTTCAGCTTGCTAAGATCCTTGATTTTATATTTTTCTCCCTTATCTTTCTTCTCTTTACCCTTTTTCTCCCCCTTCACTTCTTCACCATTTCCATTTATTTCAATCTCCCTTGATGCAACTTCAGTATCGCTGCTTGTTTTATCACCCTTCTTATCTTTGTGCTTCTTCTTATCTTTCTTCTTCTTTTCATCATCTTCTTCCACCCCTTCATCTTTGCTTTTCTTCTCTTTCTTGTCCTTCTTCTCTTTTTTCTTCTTTTTATCCCCTTCTTCTGAGTCTCCTTCATCATCTTCTTTTACTTCTTTATCTTTATCTTTCTTCTCTTTCTTGTCTTTCTTCTTCTTCTTTCCTTCATCATCGCTCTTTCCTTTCTTCTTCTTTTTCTCCCCTTCATGCTCATTATCATCAGATTTGGCATCCTTATCTTTCTTTTTCTTCTCTGTTTCTTTTTCCTCTTCATCTGATACTACATCATCATCTTTCTTCTTTCCCTTCTTCTTGTCTTTCTTCTTCTTTTCTGTCTCTTTTTCCCCTTCCTCTGATACTCCATCATCATCTTTCTTCTTTTCCTTCTTGTCTTTCTTTTTCTTCTTCTCTTTCACATTCTTTTCATCCTCATCAGACTCCTTCTTTTTGTCTCCTTTTTTCTTTTCTTTTACCTCCTTTTTCTTATCTCCATCCACATCAGATTTCTTGTCATCTTCCACCTTGCAGTTGTCATCATTAACTTCCTTATGTTTTGGCTTCTCTTTCTCAACAGATTTGGTCTTCAAATCCAACTCTTCTGTAATCTTCTCTACCTTTTCTTCATCTGTTCCTTTTACCTTGTTCTCAGTTTCCAAATGAAGCTCTTCCTTGACAACATGTTCATATGTATCATCCATCTCAATTTTCGGATACATACTCATGTTAAATATAGCCTAAAATCCAAGCTATCTGCAAACAGAAATGTGGATGCTGTTAAAACCAATACAGAAAAACAACATATGCAATAGAATAGATATCAGATAAATGCAACTAAAACCATCAAGAAACCAACAATCTTGTAATGGAATGATCATGAGAACCAAATTGAATAGAAGAACAATGAAGATCATAATAAAATTAGAACCCCAGCTCATTGAGCTCTAGCTACAGCTACACTTCAATATTAGGATATAGGCGTTGAACATGTCAATAAATTTTAAGTTCTATCTCTCAAAGTTGTTTTCATATGCTATATTGATAACAAAATGTATAAATAGTATAAGTGGTTTATATGTCATGTAAACTTGTAAATATATCATGAACTATATGGACAATCCGTAATATAATTAGGTTTTTTAAGATCTGTTATTTTATAACTTCAAAAATGATAAAGATTTAGACTTTCCGAGAGAATTTCGAATAGAGTAGTGTTTTTGAGAGAATTTCGCTAGTCAAAACTTCTTGTCTGTTGCAACTTGCAAAAGACACAAACATATCAATTTTGAATTCGAAAAGAACTAGATTTCTAACCGAAACTAACTTGAAGCCCGTTGATTAAAGTGAGGGAGAATTATACGGCAACATGTTATTCCACTCTACACGAGCAAGTAAAGTAACCCACATGACAGGCATATTATCAAACAGTTGGCGATCAATCAAAATTTGGGGGAAAAATACATAAGAAGACCCAAATCAAAGAATCACTGAACAAACAAGTAACAATCAACATCAATAATCAATCAATTAAAGAAAAATAAAAGGAACCCAACTGAAGGATTCTAAAAAGAAGTCGCTTATATAGAAACTTACCTAAAATAATCAGTCGGTTGAGGTTTCCACAGTTTATGTGAAGCTTATCGATGAATTGGAGGGTGTGCGATGAAATCTATTTATAGCTAAGCAAGAGTTTGATCGTGGTAGATACGGGAGCAACGCGGGTCTTTAATTAGGAACCGTTTTACCGACACTTTAACGCGTATGTAAAGTGGATTTTAATGCATTTGTATTTGTATATATCGAAAATTATTGCTGAGGAGTGAGGAAAGTATACTTCTTGGTTAAGGAATTCCCTTCTTGTTCGATAGTCAATTCAGGAGTTGAGTTGTCTTTGATATTCTCTTTTGCGTTAACCGTTATCTTGCCGTTTCTATGAAAATGAGTCAATGACAGGTTAACGTATTACGTCTACTAAACTGTTCTTTTTTATATCATTTATTATTGAATTTTCATCAAACTCTTTAAAACTTACAATTATAACCTATAGATAAAGGTGTTCAAAACAGGATATTGAAAATTCGGATATCCAAAATTCGTGATTTGCAAATACGAAGTTACTTTAATTGATATGTTGTAGTTACTTTAGCAAAGAAATTAACACCATTGTTAGTTTTGTGATAGAAGAGGAAAATACAAAGCTAGTCATAATTGCTAATTACTTATAAAATAATAGCAAAAAAATATCTTCGCTAAAAATAGCCCACAAAAGAGTAGTCAACCTATAGTTGACTACGGTCAACATCAATTGACCATGGTCAACGAGCGTTGACTACTTTTTTATGACAATTCGTCTACTGTTTCGCCAATTCATATACTGTTTCGTGTTTTATATAATTTTTTTTTCATTTTCTAAGATACAAAATCTTAGGTTTTTTAAAACCTATGGTTTCCTCTCGTACGGTTTTGGGAAAAAAAAAATACAGTTTTTTTTGTTCAATCTATTGTTTTGAATTGTCAAAAAAAATTTTAAAAAATAATTGTTAAAATAATTTTACATCATATAAACGCTCTTTTTAATACTCTATATCACAAAAAAAAAAAAATTAAAACCGTAGCTTTTTTGACAAAACAGAAGACTAAACCCCAAAACAATAGACTTTAAAAAAAACGTATTTTTTTCTCAAAACCGTAGCTAAAACGAGAGGAAACTGTAGGTTTTAAAAAACCTACGGTTTTGTATCTTAGAAATGAAAAAAAAAATTATACAAAATACGAAACAATAGACGAATATAGAAACATACGGTTTCGTGGACTATATTTGGACATTTACTATTTTTTAGCTAAAAATTACTAATAATTCTTTTAATTTAGCTAGATTAGTAATTACACGGTGATAGAAATAGTAAACAAAAACTAAAGAAGCATTATGACTTCAGCATTAAATGATCCTCACAACCGCTTTATAAGTGAAATCTATTTTCGTCGTGCATATTATTGCTGCTAATTTCGATTGTATTTTACAAACAAACTAAAAGTGACAATAAAATATGCAAATATTATATTAAGAAAAGAAAATTGACTATTCTATAAAAACTTCATAAGTCTTTCTGTTTATAAGTCTTTACTTTGGAGAAAAATTAAAGTCGATAATTACCTTTTCAAATAAATGAAAATAAGGTTGTAAAAATCATTTGGCGGCCGACGGTCGACTGGTGTTATGAGATTAATCGGTTTTGACGGGGATTAATCAGGAACACTAGTTTATTAATAAAATATTAAAATTAATCAAAGATTAATATATCTTAAGAAAAAAAAAATACTTCAAAATAGGAAATATGAAAATTTTTAATTTTTAATTTTGAAAATACGAAAAATATGAACATTTTCGTGTGATATTTGAAATTTTGAAATTTTGGAGTAAATAAAAAAACTGATTTTTTGAATTTTTGATTTTTATTTTTATTTTTTGAACTTTTTTTATTTTTTTTATTTTTGTTGACCAATTAATCCCGTCAAATCCGATTAATCCCTAGTTTTCGTCGAACACCCTTAATCCTAATCGATTGGAGAACGTCAATCGATTAATCAACAATTAATCCCAATTTGTGCAATCTTGAAGAAAATTAATATCATAATTAACTTTGCATATGAATTTTAAAAAATAGTTGTGTTAACATATTTGTAACAACGTAAATTTTTGACCAAATTTTTAATTTTCAAAACACATTGATTTTAATAAATAAACCATAAAATGTCACAATATCAATTCACCAAAACTCATGTTGAAAAGAAAACAGTATATAAAACTCTAGGATCCTTTAAATCATAAAACAATATTCAGTGTATGTACAATCAAGCCGGCGTCTTCCCGTGATCCTGAAAAGTAATTGAAACAAATAACACATAATACAGTAAACACAAAGCTTAGTGAGTTTCCCAAAATACCATACACAGCTCATTAGCCACTCTAGGCCATAACTCAATAAGACCCTCCGATCAATGTGTCTCAGTGGAACCCTCCGGTTCCAACTCAGTAAACTCATAGCAACAATATTCATCATAAATCACAAAAGACATAATGCAAAATATTAAAATACATAGATAAATACATAAAACAGCTCAATCACATAAAGATATCACTCCTGGTAAGTATAGTGAAAAGACTCACCTCGTAAGTAAGCTAAGTGAATGAATACTCCTCGTACACGAATCACCAAATCTAGCATCCTCCTAATCACATAAGATAATTATATCTAATTAACTCTTTAAATCTCACATTTTACTAAGTTATCTCTTTCTATCTCTCTCGCTCTCTCTCTTTATCTCTCTATCTTGAAGTGGGAAAAGACCATTTTACCCCTTCATGGTTTCCCAAAGATAGGGTTGACCAAACCTTAAGTCAACAGAAGTCGAACGTGAGTCAACAGTCCATGTTGACCCTACCCATCGAGTGCACTTATGGGACTCGACGAGTCAGCTCGCCATCCACATAAACTCTCAAAAGTCTGGCTCAACTCGCCGAGTTGACCTGTCAACTCGCCAAGTTGATGCGCGATCAAAACCATCAGGACAACCCCATCCGAATCGTCGAGTCGGCTTCTTGATTCAGCAAGTCCAATCAGACTCATATCTCATTAAGTTGATTTCAAGGCAGAGAACCTTCCCAAACTCTAGATCTACACTCCTAAGGCTCATCTATCATGTAAAGTCACAGGCTTTACGTTCATGCATGGCATTTTGAGCTTAAAATGCCAAAACACACCTCAAAGAAGGGTTTTTCACTCAAGATCACTATTATGGTTGGATAAAGCAAAGACTTTTTGACTCTAGGGACCTCACATGTTCCAGATCTGAAGTTCAACCCTCTCAATGAACATAAAACACTCAAGGTCCTCACACTTGGGTGGAAAAACCCTAAATTCACAAAATCATGAGATATATAACCTTTCCCAGAAGCTCTGAAGTGAAACAACCTCAGATCTAGCAGCACCTTCTTATCCCTTGGCTTGGAATCCTTCTCTCCTCTTCACAAGATGCACCAAATACTCATAATTAGCAAAGCACTCTCTCTCAAAGCTCAAAGGCCATTTAGGGTTTGCTCTCATGGAAGTGTATCCGCAAATGAGGCTATAAGTGTCTTTAAATAGGCCCTAAACCCGAGGATTTAGGTTTTCTCATCCCAGCGCCTGCTCGGCGAGTCGGCTCCTTGGACTCATCGAGTAGATCATTAACCCCACGTGGCATGTCGCGACTCTACTCGACGAGTTGGAGCACCGACTCATCGAGTAGCTTAAGAGATAAATAAATAAATAATTAAATAACAATAATATACCTGGAAGTCTGGATGTTACAATTCTCCCCCACTAGAATCAGACTTCGCCCCGAAGTCATGATCTGAAAATAACTCTGGATACTGCTCTCGCATCTCGGACTGCGGCTCCCACGTCAACTCGGACCCTCGTCAATGTTGCCACTGGACCTAAACCAGGGGTACCTCTTTGTTCCTCAGAACCTTCACCTTTCGATCCATGATCGCAATCGGTCTCTCAATGTAATTCAGACTCACATCCACCTGAATGTACTCTAGTGGTACCTTTGCCGTCTCGTCGGCTACACACTTCCTCAGTTGAGACACATGGAAGGTGTTATGAATCTGATTCAACTCCACAAGTAGCTCCAAACGGTACGCTACCCTACCCAC